TACTGGAAAATATTGCCATCGAGAGAAAGGGTTTTTTGATAGAACTATTTTTATTTGTCTTTACTTTATTATACGAACATTTTTCAATAACATATTTTTACATTTCTATCATATATTTGATATTGTTTAATTAAACAATTTCATTAATTATATAACACAGATATTTGAATGCTATTCATTGCTAAATACGATTGAATTATTTAAAATATTTCACTGATATTATATTAATATTGTATAATACAATTTAAATATTGTAGATATTATGGTAATACTCGATGTTGTGTTTGTAAAATTAATTACGTCAAAAAGGATTTGTACATTTCTCGTACGTATCATTATCGATTTTCATTCATCAAAAATTCTATCATGTATAAAAGACAGTTATACATATTTTACTTGGATTTAAAAATATTCAAATTATAAGCTTATGTATCTATTCATCGTTTACGCAATATTCCTTTCATGAAATATAATGAGACAAGCGTTGCATCATTATTTGCATGAAACTGAAACTTTGTTGAATTCGGTACTGAAATAAGATAGATTATCGGATGTTACGTGAGTCGATTGATGTTAATTGATATTAATCAGAACATGGGAGAGAACACGTGCCAAGGTTAATGTTTTACATAAAAGATACATACGCAAATGTAAATGTATTCATATGTGCAGGACATTTCAGATTTAAACGATTAAATTTTATCAATATGTTCTATCCAGTAAAAATAGGCCAAAAATTCTATGCACATATGGATGCGTTAACGCTTTATAAAAAATTTTTAAGCAAAACATGATACTAAGAACACAATAGCGTTATATTTTATTGAATTATAATTATCTCCTTTGACATTTATTTAAATACAAATTTTACAATTTTCTAAAAATTAAATTATATTCAAATAAGAAATCATGTCTAATGAATTTTTGATTTTATTAATTGTCTAGTAAATATACACAAACAGATCATAATCTGTGCTCGTAACCATTAGTACGAGCATCTGTCGGAATTTAATGAGTCAACCAGCTGAGACCTACATTCAGACAAATTTTCAACATTTCACGTAACACAGGTTCCGTAGCAGATTGATTTTTGGTGACATTTTGTGTATGCCGCATGGGTCGCATACGTCCCACGTATAAAATAGCGAAAATTTCAAATAGCTCGTACTTAAAGTTCGGAATAGGAGGGATTTATGCGACATGTGTGCTAGAACGGACGTAAAAAAGAAATGTCGTTGATGAAATGTATCATCAAAAATACCAGGAAATAAAACGAACTCGTGTTGATGCACTTAGGTGTCATATTTTTCTTATAATTTTTCTTTTACAAAACATTTATGAGTTATATATTTATAAAATATTCTTCTCATATTTCTATATACTGGTGACATTTGATCGTTTCAATCTTGAATAACATGTATACAATATACCCATCGAAAACATCCTCGGTCTTTGGCACCTGCTTCTTCGATTGGTTCACCTTCTTGCATATGGACATTACGAGAGGAAAAAGAAGAAAAAAAAATGTGCGTTATGTATTTAAGTACGTGATGGCCTTACTGGCCATTATCATCTTGCAGGTTATTTGCCATACTTCAGTCTTTTATTTTCGAATTCTTAATTTAAATTTTACAAGGAAAGTCAAGCCTTATTTCGTTTTATTAAATTCTTAACCCGAATTACTTCAGGAAATGTGTGAGATCATTTTTTTTTTTCTTTTGAAAATTATTATTTATATATTCGCCGTTATGCACCTAAGTATGTAAGTAATATGATGTATGTATATGTATAAATACGTACTTTGGAAATTGTTATTTATATATTCGCCGTTATGTACATATGTAAAGATATAGAAGTACATACTCGAGGTATAACGGAACGATCCATGAAGATTCTATATGATTGTATATTATAGTTGATGTACATACAAGTTTACATACAAAAACTTTATATACAAGTGTCCTGTAACTTGTGGTACTAAGCGTGCACAAGGGGTAGTTTCTATATGAAAAGCTAACAATAAATTAAAAATGTAGATTATAATTGATACATATGAAGCTTTGTATTCGAAAAAAATAGGTTGAAAAATTTGTTGAGTACTTGTGCACTTGTGCACTAAGCTTGCAATCCTGGAAATTAAAAATCTTGTTTAACAAGCAAAAGAGATATTCTAACAATGTTTGWAAATAAATATATTAAGAAAGAAAGAAAAATGCTCACAATGAAATATCTGAGAGAAAAATAATAAAATCCGTTCGTCGAGTTGCAACGAGATCAAGGGCACGTGTATAATTTTTCAATCTGTTTATCTCAAAAATAAACAACTTTTTATATGAACATGATTCTACGTAGTTTTTTTTCATGTAGAATCACTTTATTCACGTTTGTAGAACCATTAGTTACAGGACACTCTGTAGATTTTATCGATCGAACGAAATTCGAATTTATCAACCGAGAAATTGACAAGTTAAATCCAGAAATAAAATAAGAGAGAGAGAGAGAGAGATAAATTTTATGATCAAAAAGATACTATACGTAATTTCTTTTATTAAAAATAAGATTTTCTAAATAATCGATAACTCAGATCGAGTTACAAATTTATTGCCAAATTACTATATATTACCGGAGTTATTTCGTTAATGGTGTGCTCATACATAAAGAAGTAGGTGTATTAGGTATGTTCGAACATCGGTTGTCCCTTTTTTTAGCTGTTTCACGCATGACTCGCCGTCGTACGTCGATACGCGTGGTCAGGATCAATTTCGTGGTTGCTAGAGACGGTGGTAAAAGAGGGGTAGAAAGAGAAAGAAGGGGAGGAGGTGGAAGGGGAGGAGGAGATGGAAATGCTGGTGGAAAAGGACGGAACCCTTTGCCTAGAGGCAAGATTAACGCTTCCAAGCGACTTGACTCCGCTCGATTGGTCTGCGCGCGCGGAAGGTGAGGAGAACGGAACCGGAAGTATCCTATCGTCCGGATAATATCGCACGCTCCACTAATTGAGTCACTTTTTTATTAATTAGATCAATAACACTTACAATTAATTATATTTTCTACGATCTTTCTTTCTTTCCTTTTCCGAAATATTTTTTTTACTTTGTTTTCACACACACATATATATATATATATATATATATACGATATCGTCACGTTCGTGGTAGGTGTTGTGGATGAGAAAGTTATGTAATTTAAAATAAATTTTCATTAATTATTGTTGGAGAAAAAAGCTTCGTGAGGTAGATAACGTAATTTGTGGTCAACGCAAATATTTTGATCGTTATTTATTAAATAACTAAAAATGGTCTTCGTTAAAGTCTATCGAGTTCGTGCCTGGTACAAAATACCAATGCACGTGCCTTTTCTGCAAAAGGTTAACATTGGTTATCAATGAAAGTTTCCGATGATTTTAGTTAGAATATAAAACATTTATTTATGACGTCAAGATTTAAGGCGAAGTTTAGAGGGGCGTATATCAAATGATGATACCAACTTCCTCCCATTCTACTAATTTCGATTCGATAATTAATCGTCATAGTTTCTACCTCTAATAAGCATCGTGTATATATTTGTACATATGTGTATGTATGTTTGTGTGTATCTACTTAAGCATGTATGTGCTGATTACAAGAACACGTTACGTCGTTGGGTTGTCACGAGTTTAACTGGATGCAAGCCTAATGCCTACTCGAATCAACTGTCGCTACTCACGAGGATGATCTTCCTCCTTCTTCTCCTCCTCCTCCTTTCATTCATCGCAATTACGGCAATCAAATATGTCTTGTTATCTCATTCTCTCATTATAATTAATAATCATTATAATTGTAATAATAATTAGAACAATAATAATAATAACAATAACAATTAATATAAATATTATATATATTAATTTATATATATATTAATAATAATATAAAAAAAATATAAAATATAATTAATATAAAATCATAGTAATAGAAATAATAACAAAATTTTTAATAACGATAACAGTGATATTTCGTTTAATCTCGATTCTCCGTCCGTTATAAGGACAAAAGCAGGAAACGTTCCTTTCGTCTCGTTAGCATTTTTTTCTGTAAAAATGTTTTACGATTGAAAATTCTACCTCATGAAGTAGAAAAGTAATGATCTGTTCATAGAACTCTCGGATTGTTTGTTCACTGATTTAATAGATTCCAGAGTATGGGATTTAATTAGTAAACTTTTTTTCGTTATTATAATCAAAGTTCTAAGGAATGAAACTATATTTTTCGTAATACCTAGTACTCCTATAAATTCGAATAATACTCAAAAGGAATGTTTACATATAATAAATGTATACGTTGAAACGCGAAACTTTAGACTATATTACTCCCATCCTCATAATTTCTCATAACTTTATGCGTAGGTAGAAAAAAAGGAAGCCATTCCCCGTTGAGTATCGCTTCCTCTGAAGGGAATCAATTTAAAACAATATACGCGTCTGAAGGAAATTTACAGTATTACGGTGCAGCGACCTTGGGAGTGACCCTCCTTCGTTACGCCAGCATCCGCTTAATCGCTCTTTTAATTGCCTCGCGTTCGCGATTCTAGTAGCGCGTGAAAGGGTGCTCGAGTCGCACACTCGAAAGAGAACATGGAAACGGTAAAAGGTGCTAGAAGAATCTTGAATGCCGTTCGTATTTACATTAATTATATTCTTTTATTATTATTGTTATTATTGATGTTATTATTATCATTATTTGTATTCGTTGGTTACTTCATTTTCAATAGAGAAATCGACAAAAGAAAAGAAAAGAAAAGGAAAATGGGAACGTAGAAAGACGTTTTAAAAGTGCGCGCTTTTACGGAGTAGGGATTAGACACGTGACGATTGGTGGGGGAAGAAAACAAACCAGCGAGTGAGCGATCGAGCAGACTCGGGATGAGCAGTTAGTTCAAAGTTCAATCCCACGATGGCGCTACGATCGGCGCTCGGTGCACACGCGAGCGACAGCGCGGGAGTGGTCAGTATAGTTTGGGATTCGGTACCGCGTGTCTCGATTTTTACGGAGCAACCTACCGTTCTCGACAAATTTGTCTCGTTTAATCTTACGTTGAATGAACGGTAGCTTGTATTTCTGGGATTTAAGGGTAGATTGTGTTTCATATATTTAAAAAGAACTTTGAATAAATCCCTCAACCTTTTTTGTTTATCCATGTTTTATTGTGTTAAAAATATCAACAAGATTTAAGTCGTGTGTAAAGTGCATTGAAAGTGTTTTAATTATAAAAGAAATAATTATTATTTTTATGTTTTTTAATTTAGTTCGTCAATGACCGTGTCGCAACGATACACCTGTGATTATTAATTAATTAATTTATTTTGATATTTTAACTAATGAAAGGAGGTTCATCTAACGAGTGGATAAAAATAACTACTGGTGCAGTCAACGAGGGATAAGGTTTTTATGCAGATTATAATTCATTAAAAAAAAAAAAAAAAAAATAGTAACGAAAAAAAAAGAAATAACCGAAAGATCGATCTACTTCGATTCTCGTTTCCTATTGGATTCGTGCGAACTACAAATGGGGGAGAGGAATCCACTTGTTTGATCGGTGGTTGAAAGACGAACGCACCCCGTTCTGTCTCTTTCTAGTTCACAACATTCCCCATTTTGTTTTCTTTTTTTTTCTTTTATTTATGTTACTAATGTAGAACATACGAATTATTTATTTGTTCCTTTTTTATTAAATTCATTTTGTTTTTTAATTATTTTTTTATTTATTTCTACCGACTAGGTCTACTGTCAACATAACCGGTTAAAAATCTATCGACTTTTATAATATAGTAAATAACATACTTATATTTATGGCGCGTGTGCTCATTCGTTAATACAATGATCGAGCACAGAAGCGAGAATCTCAGGCATGGACCTCGTTGAGTGTGAACGATCTTTTTATTTATATTTTTATTTTTATTTTTATTATAATTTATTTTTCTTTTACCTGTTTTATTTTTTTTCTCTTTCCCTATACTATGTATAAGTTTATTTATTTTCTGTCGCTTTCTATAATCCTTTTTTTTTTTTTTAATCTTTTTCTTCTTCTACTTCCGCGAACTTAATAGTTGTGAGAAAAAGAAGAAAGATGGAGAGAATAATAAATGATCATAAAGACAGGAAAGATGGTTAATCAGATAAGTTTTTCTTCATTACGAATCTACTTGGGTAAAACTACCACTTGGGTGACTAAATGAACGAGTAGAAAAACAAATAACGGAATGAGAGAATAAAACAGTGATGATGAAAACGTACATTGTATATACTTTGCTCGATTCTTTGTCACAAGATTCTTCATACGTAGTTTGAAAACTTTTAAGGTGTGCATGATGCTTGTATAGGTGGAAAGTTTGTATGTACATGTAGGTATATATATATATAGGATAGACGGTGTAATATAACAACTATTCTAATTAACCTTGCTTCTCGCTTCGATCGACTCGCCTCGTGATAATTACGCGTGTCGAATAATTTGTAGATAGACACTAAAAAAGAAAGAAAGAACAAAAAAATAATATTTCGAGCTGATTACTACTAACCAGCACACGTGGATATATATATCTTTTCTTTCTTTCTTTTTTTCTTTAGTCTTTCTCTCTCTTTCTTTCTTTTTTTCTCCCTCTTGTAAATAAAATCTAATATAAACAATAATCTTTCGAGACCTTCTGAGAGATAGATAAAAATAGTTAAAACGTATGCTTTTATTTATTTAGATAAAGCGTCTAGACACTGTCGAGTAAGATTAGCCACTTTAGTGTTTAGACTTCGAACGAGGCCATCGTTAGTTTTCTTTTTTTTTCTCCTAGTTACTTTTTGTTTTTTTTTGTTTTTTTTTTTTGGTTTTTTACTCTACAATTAGATCGTAGCCTAAGAGCTCGTTGTTTTGTTTTGGTTTTAAAATGATTCAATTTCACATGTGATAATATTTTTTTTTTCTTGTTATTTTACTATCAGTTTACTTTTTCGTTTTCGTTATTTTTTTTTTTTATATTAAGCAATAGAACAGAGTGGATCGTCAAATAATTTACGATTATAATTTAATAAATTATTTTTACCGATTTAATTCAATAAAAAGGAACTCCTGTTCCTTTGAAAGTAGCTAACATTTATGACAATTTTAAATGATAGAATATTTTTACGAATTAAATATTTATATATTTAATTTCATCACAAGTATGAAAAATATTTATGCAAAAATAAACAAGTATGATTTTATAATTATGTGCGAGTTATCAGTGTCCATCGCACAATTTCTACACCCTTTTTGCAATAAAAGTAAAATATCGTTCACGTAAAACATTCTAAGAAAAAAATAAATCGGATAAATTTATCGAGTTATAAATAAATATATAAAAAATAAAATAGTAAAACTGTTAATATATATTTATGTTAGCATCTGGAAACGTTCCAAAGAAAAAAGAAAAATAAAAACTAACGAGTTATTTTGAAACTCGTTGAAAAATGCTCAATTCTTATAAATTTTTTTTATATAATTTTTATTAATAATTTTATTATTAAGTACTTATTATATATTATAATTTATATTTTATAAATTATTATTAATTATTAATTAGATTATATTATATTATAAATAAATATAATAATATTTAATATATGTATATAAATATAATTAAATTATAATATTATTAAAAAAAAAATTATAATATAATATATATAAATATATAATTTATAAATTATAAATTATAATTATAATAATTTTCTATAAAATTATAATACCTAAGTATTGTATTTATTTTTTAAGAATTTTCTCAAGAATCTTTTTCATTTCTGTTAAGAATGACACCCATCATCACCCATCATCATTTATCGTTATTATTCAACTTTATTGAAAAAAAGAAAAAAAACTTAATATTCAATCAAGATCTCGTCTTCTTCTTATCTCCACTTGTCTCAGTCAATCACGTTATTTTTGAAATCCTAAAAAAGGGTTGTATCCTCTTTCCGTCTGACATCGAATCGATTATTCAATGAATGACCGGAAGTGGAAGGACGTGACGATAAATCCTTGGAATCTCATTCACAAATGTGTCCTCGTATTTGATGCGTCCGACTGCAAGGACGTTGCGATACACAAGTTCCTTTTCCAAGAAAATAGTTGTATAATCAACAACAACGAAAAAAAAAAAAATAATAAAAGAGAGAAAATAATACAGGAACGGGGGAAAAGATGCCAATGGACGAAATAATTATCTCAGCGATAGAGTAATAATTAAACGGATGTTCAATTATCGCAAATTTTATTTCAAAACTTCATGGAACGATTGGCCGAAGGAAACAGGAAAAGCATTGGGAAGTAGGGGGGATGGGTTCAAAAAATACCAAAAAAAAAAAAAAAAGATAAAAACAAAGAAAATATTGATTCGTTTCTTCTTTTTTTTTATTTATTTATTTTTTTCGTCTTATTTCTGGTTTATCGGCCTTCTTCTTCTTCCCTAATCATTGATCAAAATAAAAGAAAACTTCAGTAAAGAAAGGAAGCAGAAGATCGAGTCTATTTTCCTCAGGCGTGGAAGAGTGCACTTGCACTCTTTTGAGAACATGATCCATGACCCAGTTATGTGAAGATCTTTTTTCATCTCCCTCCCTTCTTCGACTTTGTAGACAGACCGGAATTTTGGCGCATTCAAAGTAACCTCTCTCTCTCTCTCTCTCTCTCTCTCTCTCTTCATATGTCATGTATATATATATATATATATATATTTTCACAGTTATCTCTATCTAACTATGAAAATCTTTTGAATATTTCTCCCTGTGTGTGTTTGCATGAAATAAGAAAAATTCATGATATCCATTTTGTTTTCCTTTTTATTTTATTGATTTCCTAATATAAAAAATAATAGCATCGGAAAAAGAAATTTTAAAAATGTTTATTTAAATAATAATATATGCATAATTTATAAATATATTTATATATTTACCATTATATTGGTAATATATAAAATATAAAATATATAAATATAATTTATATATAATAATATAATAATTTAAATCTAATCTATTAATTTAAATAATTTTATATATATATTATATGTTATATTTATTTATATAATTATATGTATAAATTATATATAAATATTAATTAATTAATAATACATTCCAATAATTTAAAATATATAATTAAAATATAAATATAAAATACACCATTACCATTATTAATATACTATTATTTATATATTATATAATATTCTATATATATAATTATATTTATAATTAATATTAATTTATAATAATAATAATATAATATATAATAAAAAATAATGTATAATATAATAATAATATATTTATTAAATTTTATACTTATTGAATTTACATTAGAATTATTTTATATAAAACATTTGATATATTTATTTTTGTTTTGTATTTTTATTTGTTTATTTTTCAGAAAAAATAATCAATGCAGATTGAAAATGGAAATTTTCATTACAAATTACAAACATAAAGATTACATCAAAATGTTCAATCAGTATCGGTTTGTTTATGGATTACATAAAATAAATATTTTCTAAGTTGTGTATATCATTTGCAGACGCTGCAATGCGGTCATGCATAAACAACGTATTCGTCCTTGTTCCGCATGCGGTGTTATACGAAAAAAAAAATTCGCGACTTACTTTTCTAAGCTTCCTTTGGTAAAAGTACGTTCGAGAAAAAGACTCGTCTTTCTTCTTGTATCTAAAAAGAAAATGCCGTCTACCTTTTTCTTTTAATTTCTCTCTCACGCTATCTTCTGAACTTTCTTTCTTCAGTGTTTTATAAATGAAATACTTTATTCACCTTTCAGTCAGTCGCCATCGTTGCCATAGCTTTTGAAAGGACACAAGACGGGTTATTCATCTTTTTTCTTTTTTCCTTTTTTTTCTTATATCTTCATTGGAATGTCTTATTTACGTGATGAACGTTTGAAAAAAAAGTCTTGTAAAAATGTACACGCGAAGATACTAAATTTAGTATAGTGAGATAAAATGTTAAATCATACGATGTAATATTGAATTTTAAAAAACCATTTCCGATAATCGTAAAAACGGGAAGTAAGGGAAAGTAGAAAAAAGGAAATAAATTTATGGACAATTTTTTACGAAGTAACAGAGCTTTTTTTCTGTTTTATTTTTATTAAAAAATATTTCAATCCGTTTTAATCCACGCTTTTATTATTAGAAACGGATGAATAATATTTTATCGATAATATTGCTACTGATTATAAACAAGGAAACAATGTAATTTAGTTGATCGATATTTTTTATTACATTTATTCGATATCATTCGAATTCTTTAGAATTAAAATTTTTCTTTTAATCCAATTATTGATACTTCTGTATATGTATGTGTGTTTCTATTTGTTTGCAATATCAAGTAAAAAAAATATAATATTTAACTAGCTCTCG